TTTAGGGAAAGTAGTTTAAAGGTGATGGGCTCAAGTGTGTGTGTGGCTTTGATATTTCAAATGAAAGAGGAAATGTTGTTATAGTAATATTTTACTCTTCATAAGGATAGGATGAAGTGTAAACATATAGGTAATAACATTTTTAAGAAGATTTATCGTTTTGGTTAATCTTTTAATGATCCAATTTAAATTTGAAAAATGCTAGAGCTAAATGTTACTATCAGATACTTCGTAATTTTTTTTAACCATGCTAAAATTGAAGGTTGAAGTTGCGGTGAAACAGGCACTTAGTAAAAGTTGAAATATTAGGAGTTAAGATACCTTACGAAAAAATATTAAATTGCAATAGAATCAGTAACACTATAAAAATTATTTTGCCTAACTTTAAGGTTATTTATTTAAATTTTATGGAGCAATTTCAAACTTCAAATTCAAAATCTAGTCAAGTTAGTGCATCTAAAGTTGGAGTTCCAACTCTAGATTTTAGTTACCAAACTTTAGGGGGTTGTATTCAATCAAGATTCTGATGAATTTTTTTGTATTTCGAAAGTCTGTAGGTATTCAATTCAGATTTGAAAAAGTCATTTAAAATTTGGGCGTATTCAATTCAGATTTTTACAAATCCTTCTAAATATGATGGTATTCAAAAATTGATAGATTTTTAAAAATTTTTAATAATGTAGATTTTGATGGATTTCCATGCCTTGGGTATAAATACAAATCTGGATACCTAATCCTACCAACATCCCTGTGATTTTGTAGACTCTTCCGATCCTCTTCTTCCGATTAATGCAAATTTCACGACTTTATCTTCTCTTCTTCGATCTGTGCAGTGGCAACACCATGGAATTTATGATGCAGACTTTTTTTAATCTTTGCCTTGCTTATCTTCTTAACCTTGCAACCACATTCGATCTGTGCAGTGGCAAGACCTTTGCCTTGCTTTTCTTTCAGTGCAACCACCTTTGATCTGTGCAGTGGCAAGACCTTTGCCTTTCTTATCTTCTCCATCTTTGACCAACCATTCCGTTGACAGGGGTCCTCTCCATCATCTGCGGCGGGATGGGAGGAGGCGGTTTGGGGGCGGCTCTGTGACGGCAAACCAGAGCCTTTCGTCTCCTTTTTTATTTTTAATTTTTTTCCTTTTTTAACCAATTTGGGCTAAGAACATTCCATTAGAATCTTCATAAATCTTTACCAGAAAATAAATTGAAATCTTTTGAAGTCTACTTAGAATTAAGACAATCCATAAATCTTATAGAATCCATGGATTATAAAAAATCTAACATAATCTTTTAAAATCTAAGTTGAATACACCCTCCTTAGTTTCAACAAAGTAAAGTTTAGACTATAAGTTTCAAATTTCGAAATTCATAATCTAATACTTATACTATGTTTGGTTCAAGAAAATTTGGAAGAAAAGGAAAAAAAGTGGTTCCCTAATTTTCTTCAACAAAATCAGAGAAATATGGTTTTTATTTTTCATGGTACATTTTGCATTCTCATATTTTTCATTTTTGTTTTCTTTTCTTCTCTAACCAAACAAGAAAAACTATTTTGAATCTCATTTTCTTTTCTTCTCCTTTACAAATTTCTTAAACCAAACATAATATATGTTCAAATTAGAATTACGTCTTGATTTTGGGTTTCAATGTCTAGACTTAAAATTTCTATATCCGGTAAAACATGAACGATGTTGATTTTGGTCTAATCTGTTGTGTTACTGTGAATCCGTAAAACAAGAACGATGTTTCTTGTTATATTTTAGGTGCATGTATTCTTTCATTTTCAAACATTCAGTTCATTTAAGAGTTGTTCTATTGCAAGCTTGTAGCCATAGGTTCGTATGTAAAATCTAGTTTTTCTCACATATTAATGCATGGTTTTATAGTTAGATTCCTTTCTTTTTATAAAGCTCAACAAATTTTATGTATAAAGATATATAAATTAAGTATGGACATAAAGATCAAAAAATAAATTGTCTACATTTAATATGAGTATTACTTTGTAGATAAGAATATTGTTTCCATTCTAATGTATTCGTCAAATTTAACTTTTTTAAAATTAAACTCTATCTTGATGAACTGTAAAAAATCATCAGACCGATACACTAAACACTGAAGTATTTGAGTTCCTAAAAGTGAAAATGAAGTATAGAAATAAGAAATTTAATTATGTAGTCTCATAGTTGTGTAACTTATGATCCCTTATGCCTAAAGAAAAATTCCTTTTTATGCTCAAAAAAGTCAAAAGCCTCATTTGTCGGTCAAGAATATATTCTTTTTTTTAAAACTAAAAATTCCATGAGTAGATAGAATATTACTCCATCAAATTCATAGATTGTAGTATAAAGTTTAAATACATAGATGGTTTTCGAGGCAACGGTGGATGAGAGTAATAAAATAAAACAAAGTTGGGAGTATATCATAATTTGACATGATCTTGTGATTCTTGTCATTATTGTTTTGCACATCAATCATCATTCTCGTGAAACATTGACAACTTTTATCAGTGTATGTCTGTGCAATACTATAATATCAAAATATGGTGTCCCTTAACAAGTTCAGGGCCAATTTGGTAAGTTTAAGATGATATGAAATGAATTTTAAAATATGTGAGAAATGATATGAGTTTTGAAATTTGAATCGAAATTGTTTAGGGATATAAAAATCATAATTTATTACTGATAGCTGAGAGTGGCCGACAGTGAGGGTGGTCAATGGTTAAAAATATATCAATCCCTCATATTAATATCTGTATTAAGACTTTGTTCGTTTGATTGTAAAAATAGAGTTGGATGTTGGAAAAAACTGGAATAAATTGAAAGAAATGGGAATAAAATGGAAAATGCTGGAAATTTTAATGTGTTATACATCACTCAACCAAATATTCGTCCATATAAATATGTAAAAACTGATTTTGGATAAAAAAAATTCATCTTTGTCCGTGTTTGAGATGATATATTATAAATCTGAAATATGATGTTATAGTATATTTATCATATGCAAATAGTTTTTTTAGTTGTTAGTTCTTGGAAGAAACTGAAAAAAATTAGAAGAAATTTGAAAGAGTTGGAAGAAACTGGAAGGAGTTAGAAGAAATGGGAAGAAGCCGGAAATTAACCTTTTCAACTCAAATGGACACACCCTTAAAAGGTGTCATATAGGGAGATATCTCGTATATAGATCACAAAATACTAGAAAAGAAATTTGATACGAAGAGATGAAAACTCATACGAAGTACTCCGTATCTCATTATCTCTTGTCCTCGTCAAATGGCCTTAATAAAATATATGGAGGGAGTAGGATACTGATTTAGAGCCTGTTTGACGAGCGTAGGAGATATGAGTTTCTATATATCTTATTATCATATTTCTTGTTTTGTGTTTGTGAGTCATAAAAAAATTTGATTTCGATATATTTAGAAAATCACAAATCATCCAAATGAAGGGTTTTGATATATTTTGAATCTGGAAGTGATCAATATGAAAATATTATATTTTTCTCAACCCTCGACCATTGCCTGCCATTAGTTATCACTGCCATTACCAACCATCCCCATTGTCGGCGACCTTTGTCAATCACTAATTAAACAATAATTTTAATTTTTTCAAACAACTTCATATCACTAGTTTTCAAAATCCATGTACTCCCTATCATATTTTAGAAGTGACGAAATAGGCCTTTGGTTGTGTTCTGTTGGTCTGATCTGATCTAATCAGAATGGATTTGATCTGATATAAAATTGATTAAAATTAAAATTATTAATACAATAATTATAATAATAGTAATTATAATAGAAAGAATAATAATAGTAGTTGTAGTAGTAATAGTAATAAGAGTAATAATAATAATAAATATAATAAAAATACTAATTACTCCCTCCGTTCGGAAATAATCTTCCCGTTTCTCCTTTTTTCCCGTCCGGAAATAATCTTCCCATTTCAATTTTTAACCCACAAACTACCCTAAATACCCTCACCCATTTATCTTCTGTTTTTTTCCTTTCCTTTTTTTCCTCCTTTGTTCCGTCGTTTCTCGTCTTTCTCTATTCACACCCATTTCTTATTCTTCTCTCTCCCACACCCACTCAACCATTTCTTCTTCTTCTCTGCTCTTTCTCCCAATCTTCATTATCTTCTTCAGATTTACTTTTTTTTCTTGTTTTCCTTCTTCTTCTTCTTCTTCTTCTTCTTCTTCTTCTTCTTCTTCTTCTTCTTCTCCTCCTCCTCCTCCCCCCATCTCTCTCTTATTTGTTATCTCTCTTCTCCCAGATCGTACTATTTCTTCATTTTCCTCTTCTTTCTCCTGATTCTGTGTCTCAGATCTGTCGATCTGCGACAGATCTGTTCATATATCTTCTTCTCCTCCTCCTATTCCCTCCTTCTTTCTCCTCTCTCTCTTTTTCTCCCAGACATGGCGGCTGACAACGACGGTGGCCTAGCGCCTAGCGGCGTAAGGTTGAGATTTTTCTCTCCTTTCTAGTCTCAACTATTTTAGATCTAAATTTTCGGGCAGGTTGACAATTGTGATAGAGCAAGGTGGTGGTGGGGCCGCAACGATGGTGGGGGGAGGGGGGCTCTGCGGTGGTGGTGGGGTTGACGGAGATGGTTGGAGCAATGGGAAGTGGTAGTAGCGGGCAGGGACAATTGTGGCAAAAGAGAAGGGTAATTTGGACATTTCTCTCCTAAAGTCAACACTTCAAAAAAATGAGAAAAAGTCCAAATGAGAAGATTTTTCCCGGACGGAGGGAGTATAATACTCTGTAGTAATAATAATAGAAATAATAATAATAATATAAATAATAATAAGAATAATAGTAATAGTAATAATAATAAAAATAATAGATCATAATATTAATAGTTATAGTAATAATAATACTAATAATAATAATTTTGTAGAATAAGTATTAGATAAGAAAAAATAATAGAAAAAAAAGCTTATTTGTCTTCGGTCCAAACCATTGCCAATAACATGGAATACCTTGATTATCGTTTGAGGGCAGTGAGTGTGGTGTGATTCCGGCTTGATTCTTGATGGGGATGGAGATGAAAACCAGGAGAAAGCCCCTTAAATTTCTTCTCGTGTTTATCTTTCACAACCCCATCATCTGTCTTTCATAAACCCTTTCAAAAATGGCGGTTAGCCCTAGAAAATTGGGCATCTTCGGATGGGCATTGAGACAACGCAAGCAATCTAAAGGCCAACTGGTGAATCACTTCTCAACCGGGAAGCTCATTGTTTCCCAGGCGAAGCCAGACCTCCGGTCAACGAACAACACAATTACAGCTTTGATCCGAAGTGGCAGGCTTGAGGATGCCCGGTTCATGTTCGACCAATTGAGGCACAGAGATATTGTGACATGGAATTCGATGCTCACTGGGTACACCCGACGCCATGAAATGGAGAAAGCTCAGAAGCTGTTCGATCAAATGCCTGAGAGGGACGTTGTCTCTTGGAATTTGATGATTTCGTGTTACATGTCTAGCCGGGGAACTGATTACATTGACTATGCAAGATATCTGTTTGATAGTATGCCCGCGAGAGATGTTATTTCTTGGAATACAATGATAAGTGGGTATGCGAAGGTTGGGCAAATGGATGAAGCATTGATGCTTTTTGATTGTATGCCCGAGAAGAATGTGGTGTCCTGGAATGCTGTTGTTTCGGGTCTTTTACAAAATGGCCATGTGAAAACTGCTGTCAAAACTTTCAAGAGAATGCCAAAACGTGATGCAGCTTCTCTTAGTGTGATTGTGTCGGGATTGATCCAGAACGAAAAATTGGACGAGGCTGCAAATTTACTGCTTGATTTTCAGAGATGTTGTGGTGAAAGCAGTGATCTGGTTTTTGCTTATAACACGTTGATTGCTGGGTATGGTCAGAAGGGCAGGATCAAAGATGCTAGACGTCTTTTTGATCAAATGCCATTTTATGCAACGAAGGCTACACAAAAATGTAGGAGGTTTGAAAGAAACATAGTGTCATGGAATTCAATGATCATGTGTTATGTAAAGACTGGGGATGTTGTTTCAGCTAGGGAGCTGTTTGATCTAATGGTTGAAAAGGACACTTTTTCCTGGAACACGATGATCAGCGGTTATGTGCGTGTCTCAAATATGAAAGAAGCTTCGAATCTACTCTCTATGATGCCAAACCCAAATGTATTTTCGTGGAATTCAATAATCTCAGGATATGCACAAGGAGGCAGATTGGAACTTGCTTATAAATTTTTCGAAAGGATGCCACAGAAGAATTGTGTCTCCTGGAATACCATGATAGCAGGATATGAGAGAAATGGAGACTATGAAGGAGCTATAAGACTCTACATTGAGATGCAATTGGCAGGAGTAAAACCTGATAAACACACATTATCTTCACTTCTAGGTGTTTGTGCAGAAACTGTAGATCTGCATCTTGGTATGCAGATTCATCAGCTGGTTACAAAGACTGTTTTACCTGATGTACCACTAAACAACTCCCTCATTACTATGTATGCGAAATGTGGGGCTATAGTGGAAGGAAGGTCCATTTTTGACAGGATGAAACTTTGCAAAGATGTAATATCTTGGAATGCCATGATCGGAGGATATGCATCTCATGGCTTGGCTAAAGAAGCACTGGAACTGTTTAACACGATGAAGAAGCTTAAAGTGAAACCAACATACATCACTTTTATTGCTGTTCTATCTGCCTGTGCTCATGCAGGCCTGGTGGAAGAAGGTCGTTTCCAGTTTAAATCCATGGTTTATGATTTCGGTATTGAGCCAAGGTTGGAGCACTTTTCCTCTTTAGTGGATATTGTAGGCCGTCATGGCCGAATCGAAGAGGCCATGGAAATAATAAAAAGTATGCCCATTGAGCCAGATAAGGTTGTGTGGGGAGCATTATTGGGTGCTTGTAGAGTGCATAATAATCTGGAGTTTGCAAGAACAGCAGCTGAAGCATTAATGCAGCTTGAACCAGAAAACTCTGGTCCTTATTTACTCCTATATAACATGTATATCGAAGCTGGAAAATTAGATGATGCAAATGAGGTTAGGATGAGGAGGGATAGAAATAATGTGAAGAAAGAATCAGCGTACAGCGTGGTGAATTCTATCCATCGATAATCAATATATCCAATTGGAAGCCGTGTTACAACAACTACTTGTGGCATAGATGCATGTACATTTGTCTTCTTGAGACTCTGGGAGTTGAGACATTTGGAAAGTAGCGATTGATTAACCTGGATGTAGACAGGCCGTTTCCAAGAGAACTTGCTCAAATACAATATTACAAGCAAACAAGATCACAGTAGCACTAAGAGCAAAGAGTAAAGAGTAAATAGAGAAGTACACATAGGGCATACTTTTGGCATCCTGACCCCAGCAATCGGACATTCGGATGTCACATAGGGTTGTGACTATTTTGGATCCAAACTGGAGACACGATGTAGAGGAGGCGAGGGGTGAGGTGTGCATAGTTCTTTGCTCCAGTTACAAGGCTTCACCTGATTTTACTCTTTGGTAGCAACCAAACCCTTTGGGCAGCAAAGGTAAGGAGTAGGTGCCATTATTTTTTAAGGTGCTTCTCATTAAATCCATTTATGGTATCCTCTTTCAAAAAGAAAACTAATCTCCTGTGCTATATTTCTGAGGTAGATGGGACCAACCCACTGGCATGCATCACATTATTTTTGTTTCCTTTAATGTTTTAAGCTTTTGGCGAAGAGATAAAATGTCTGTTTGGCAGCAACACCAGCTTTAACTTTTTGAAAAGGCTATCTAACGATAGGTGTAATTTTAACGTTTTAAAATTTATCTCCATTATTAAAAAATTATCCAAAACACTAAAGGTGATTGAAATGCCGTCTCAAACATGTCTGAAGTTGGAGTGTCATTTTCTCTTGAATCACTTATTCTTTAGTATTATTATAAGCCCTTCCTCCCTTTCATGTTTTCACCACATTGACATCTAGGAATCCAGAGAAATAAAGTGAATACATTGAGTGTAGAATTGTAGAATCAATATCTAATGTATGTACAAAGCAAAGAAATTGACATGCTTATATAATAGTATGATGTGCTCGATAATGGGATATTGGGGGTTGGGGTACACGAGACACTACTTTTTCCTATATTTCAGTTTGTCACCAGATACATCACCAATGGCATGTTTGGATCCTGGAAAATGCTTGGAAAGGGGAAAGAATAATACCCAGTAATTGTGTTGGTATGTCTGGGGTTACCTAATAAATTCTTAGAGACCATTGTCAAATGAACCATAAATGCTGATAAATGTGTGTCTGGGTGCGCGGGCATAGATATATTTTTGGGTTGACTTTGGTTCGCTAAGTTTTTTCTTGTTATGCCTTGTTTTTTTTGAAAAACCAGAAATCTTATTAAAGGGACAAGATAATATGATCCAGGAGTGCATCTGCCCACAACGGAATGAGTAGCAAGTGCTAACTAATGCGCCGGTTCCACATTTCTTCTCTAAATGGAGGTAAGTTGCTTGTTGTGAACAGATTGATTACCTGTTGTTTTAGCATTTCATTTGGTCATTTTGTCCGAAATCAGAAAACATATTGACAACTCACATTGCCAATTTTTTCTAGGATAAACCACATATTATCCCACACCGGGGGAGGGTCGGCTATATGGGTGGATCAAGTGAGGCCATTCGGTCGGGTTCGGTCATAGCCTCTGTAAGTAAGTTCAGTACTCTTGAATTGAAGTGGTGTCTCATTGTCTTCGACCAATCTTGGTGCAATTTATAGAGCCATGTTTACGATCCCCTTTGGTGATGACAACATATTCCGCATTCCTTTTAACTTTTCAAACTCTTTCGAGTTGCTTCCAATTATTTCCAACCATGAATTGAACATTATTTATGTGTATTTTTCCCATTATTATTATTATTATTATTATTTATCTATGTTAATAAAATAATAAAGAAATTGAACCAGTAACACAATTAATGATTTAACTCTTGATTGTCTTGGCTTGCATTGTGCCTATTGCCAAACTTAGGGCAAACTCCCATTGTTTCTTTCAGCTTTGTATTACACCTGTCCAGTTTCCAAAATTTCAATTTTAGTTAAAACTACAATCGCATCTAGACTTTAGTTTTCGAACTCTAGTAAAAAAATTTAACCAAGGCATTAAGAACATGTTCTAATTATATTCAATCATCCTAATTCCAGATATGAAGGGTCAAGAGCTTGTGATGATTGTGCAATCTAAAAGGGAAATGCACTACAATTCAATCTTCTAAAAGGTGTGTTTTATCAAAGAATCTTTTCTTTATAGAGAAAGAAGAGATAAAAAGGGAAAGTGAAGATAGAATAGTCACATAGTGAGTACTCTCTCTCAAAAAAAAAAACTCTACCTAGTTTCACTTAGTGAGTACTCTCTCACATATTGTTTATATTTGTTCACATGAGAGAGAAATCGAAATCTTGTGAGTCACATATTTATTACTCTCTTTGTTTCAAAAATAGACTTCTAATTGGGTTTGACACGAAGCTTAAGAAAAATAAAATTGATTAATTGTAGTGAGACAAAATAGAGAGGAAGAGGGTAAACCACAAAAAAAATGTCTAAAAATTAAAAGAGATGTTTTTTTGGAGACTTCCAAAAAGGGAATGAGAATATTTTTTTAAAATTTTTTGGACGAAAAGAGTATTAAATGAGAAACTAAAGTAAGGGAAATGTATTTTCTGGAACACCCAATTAGAAAAGGGAGTGCTTCTTTGGCGTACCTTAAGGACATATCATTTTTGTGGATTTTCTTACATAATTTTTTATTTAAAAAAAGAAATGCTTATTTAAGTAGTAAAGAAATACTTAGGTCCACCATAGAATTTGCCTAGAAATGGTATGTAAAAAAAATTCTAGAACGAAGAGAGCATAAAGTTCGTGCAGATGGTTCCCACTTTGAGATTCCTTTTCAGACTTTGATGTTGTGACATGTTAAGGGCTCAAGGCGAGGGGTTACCCTTCAAAGTGCTCCATGTATAGTTCTCAATGCAAGTATTCTCGACGTGAAAGAAAATACCATTTCAATTTTGGGATTGATTTTTTTTTTTTTGGTGTTAACTTGTCAAATAACTATATGCTCTTTGCAATTTTATATTATCTCCTTCCCACATCTTTTTTTTCTCATTTTCACTTTTATCGTCAATATTTTTAAATTTTGACTACAAATTATGAAAACAAATAACCGATTTATGATATAAGTTTTTTTAAGGGAATTGAAAATTCATTAATGCACTAAAAGAGGAACAAAGTCAGGTGGAGAAGAAATCCAAACACGGCGTTGGTTCTCGCTCGCTTAGCAAGAGTATGTGCAGCAACATTAACCTCTCTACGAACAAAGGAAATAGAACCAAAACTAAAGCCTGCTGGTAAAGTCTTACACTCACTCCATCACCAAAGATCCAAAATATGATGAACGTGAAAAATAATGGTCAGCAATCGCTTTTGCTACCCGCTCACAATCAACAGTTTATTTTGAGACATGTAAAAAAGAAAGTGTAAACTTTATTTTGAGACGAGAGTAAATCTCACTCACTTTATACATTTTATTTAATTATTTGTTCTGTCAATTGTCAAAGAGGACAATAGTTTCAAATAATCAAGATGATCCTCGTGAACAAATTTTCTAAGTGTTGAGTCCCTATTTCGTAGATAACTCTATTTCTAGTAGAAAACAAAAAAAAAATTAACCAATAAAATAAAATAAAAAGAAGACTCAATAGATATATGACTTGCACAGTTGTTGCACCCTTTTGCCCTTCCTCCGGTCTAAACTTATGTCGGACCGGAGACCGGTTTAGACACAATACTCATTGAACCAGATGATGTGCTATGCGGATTTCCTTTGGTCGAATCCCGCCTTCTTCGACCGAGCCCGATTCTCAAAACCGCCCCGAACCATTTGACTATCCCGGTTTTCCCGTTTCCATTTTTTGACCGGACCCGTCCGGTACAAGTAACGACCGGAGAAGGCGGTTCGACCAAATTCTCAACCGGTTCGGACCGGCTCCGGAACAAGCTCACCCCATTGTGGCGTTGGATTCCGTCCGCCGCCCAGTGCTTAGGAGCGGCCGGAAAAGCAATGAGCGATAGACTGCGCATCCGGCTCAACGACGCGCGAGAGCATTTTATCCCGTGACTGAAGTCACGGGGAAACACCATTTTCCTAGACGTCTTCCGCAACAATGTCGCGTTTCGGTACAACCAATCTTGCTCGGCATCCGCCGGGACGCAATATGATTCCGGCGGCATGTCCGAGGCATCGCCGTCGCCGGAAGAATCGGGCACGTGATCGTCGTGTGACCCGAGGTTTTCTTGGCCCACATTGTCACCGTCATCATGTGACTCAAGGTTTTCTTGGTCATCATTGTCATGACCATCATCAGAAGCTTCAGATAAATGGGACTGAGGTGAAGACATATATATTGTAATTATTATATTAATAATTCTGTAATAGATAGAAATAATGTTGAGATAACACTATGATCATATAGGTTTATATGTTTGGAATTTTGGAAAGAAATTGATTATGGGAAGTTGGAATAAATTATAAATAATTATTAACCAAAACAGTCATAATCCAAATTGGTAAAAGTGTAAATTGGGGTTTATATTCATAGGTAGTCAAATGACTCGAGTTTGGATTTCAGTAGTAATTTTGAATTAAAATTTTAATAGTATTTGGAGTTTAGAAACTGAATTAAAATCCTTTTAGGTAGTGTTTGGCAACTAGCATTTCATTTCAATTCATGCATTTCAATTTCAAAATTTAAAATCTTGAAATTCAAATAACAAGAGGAGGAGCATGGATTTGAAATTAAACTTTGTTTTGAATGAGAAGAATTTGACTTAAATCTAAATTCAAATTTTTTAAGTTTCCCAAACATGTGATTTGAGCTAAATCCGGATTTGAAATCCAAATCCATGTTCCCAAACATACCATTATAGTATATAGTGAATTTGGTAATTAGTTGTTTTGAAGCAATGGTAATTATTTTTTTGAAGCAATGGTAATTAATTTAGTTTTTAAGGAAATGGCAAATTAATCACAATGGAAACGTTTTCTTAGGCAGTGGGAAGATGTTTTCCATTTTTGTGCCCCCTTTCTTACCACTTTTTTTGTCATGACAATATTGCTAACTTTAAAATAAAAAAATGTTAGAGTCACGAACAAAAAAAGTTATTCTAAATAAAACAGCCCAATAGTATCTCAATCTAATCCCAACCCAATATTATTTCCATTTCCCTATTACTAAAACCTTCATATTTTCAAAACATTGCTTACGCGCCCCTTTTGATTATTTTCTGTTCATCATATGGGGAAGGAGAAGAGAGAGTGCTAGTACATATTTTCCAAACCAAGAAGAGCACGTGGAACGACACATCATCCCACCGAATCAGACATAGAACCTGTCTCCTTAACCACAAGATGAGCAGTATGATTCGCATATCTCCTAACAAAGTTGAAGCTCAAACTACT